AATGTGATTATAAGTGGAATTTGTTTTTTTAATTCAATTTTTGTATTGTTATACAAAGTTTTTGAAGGAAATTAATTGACAAAAAGTCTGCAAGCCTGAACTGCACAACACTGGGATTGCTCAACTCCAGAGGCAAATCCTGAATTCTCAAACCTGCACTAACAGGAAGGAGGCCATGAAGACTGAACTCCCGCCACCCTGGAAGACATGTTCTCCAATGGCCTCTTCCCTAAAGGACAATGGACAAGGAAGGACCTCCCAGAAGGCAGATCCAGGGGCCACAGGGAAGAATGGGTAAAGGAGCTATTTCCCAGTTGTCAGAACTGAGGAACTCAGTCCCCTGGGAGGTAGAGAACCTTTGCAATTCTTGCCCAGTGGGATCTGCTCATTATTATGTATTTTCCATTATTCTTTTCCAGGAGGAACTTTTAATTGTGGTTATCCTGGTTTCTCCCCCCCCCCATTGTATACTGTATATGTGTGGTGGCTACGGGAGGCAGGCAAACAGACAACTTGCCTTTTGTTCATATGTCACTGGACCAATATCTGAACTTCACATCAATACAATCACCAGGAGGCCTGGGCTTTGAGCTGCTTACAGTAATTACCTGATCCTATCAGCTTTGAACTTGGAAAAGGATTAGCGTGCTTTGTGCGAGGGAAGAGAGTGTGTTGACTTGGGTAGAGTTCATTAGCTGCTCTTCAGCATCCATCTCCTCTTCTTCATAGCAGTGGGAATATTTAGCTGGAGTCATTGCTATCCAGACACTATTTCTTAACTTCCCTCACAACCAGGGATATCTTATGGCCAAGTCTGGGAGTAGACATGCAACTTCTAGGCAGTGCCTTCTGAGGAAACAGGAATATCTTCCTCCTCTCTTTCCATTTCCATTGGCTGATGATTGACGTGCTAGCAGTGGCTACAGTACCCTCTTTGGGAGAAACTGGGAGTCAAGGACAGCAGAGCAACAGATGAAGGAGGAGTCACCATATCTCACCTGGCACTGCCTGCCTAGACTCTACCTGCCAGAATCAACCTTCCTGTTTGGTACACTGGTTTGCAGGGAGTCTCTTTATTGTATCAGGCTAACTTTGATCCTCCCTAATAAAAGTTTGTTTGCCTTTAAGATGAGAGGGACTCAAGCATGTTTGTGTACTGGTGGAAATAATCTAGCAGGGAGCAGGAGCCTGATGGGGAAAGACAGCAAGAGGACCACAAAGGGGACAGAGCCCTTGAAAAGATGAGAAGGAACGGGACCCAGAAAACAAGTGATGGAACTTCTTTTAGCCTACAGAAACTGGGATGTTTCATCCTTTGTGATGGGAAAAAGAAAATATCAGTGCAGATGCAGGGAGACCAGGTTCCCTGGTGGGATGATGAGGGATGTTGGGTATATCTACAAGAGAACAATGTAATGACAATCTATGGATGCCCCCAACTCAGTATTGGCTCCCTGACACACTCATTGATACACGCATGGTTTACTTTTATTTAATTAGTTGTTTTAATGATATAATACGCACCTACAAAAACACCTCCCAAGCCAAAGCCTCCTCAATGACCCACATCTGATGATAAAGTGTCTTCCCTTTCTTCTACTTAAGATGACCAACACCCTGAGTCCTGCAAGCAACATTGCCACATTTTCTTTATCATATCATTTATCGCTTTTCTGTGTTTCTAAAAAAAAATACATCCATGTATTTTATATTCTCTGTTTCCATTGAAGGGGCCTGTTCTCCATGGAGTATGTTGAGGCTTACCTTTTTGCTTAACTGTATATGGCTAAGATTCATCCACGTTGTCTTCTCTTGCTGTAGCTCATCTGATTAATCTAGTATATGATATTCTGTTGTGTGACTATACCATAGTGTATTCATTCATGAGCTATGGGATCTCAGCTGGGAAAGAAGAGAAGTAGAGGCTAGAGGGAGTTGATGGATGGAGAAGTGAAGGAATCAGCAGACTGGAGAGTTCCATGGGAGCTAATGCAAGAGCCCTTGGGCCCAGGAGCAGAAAGGCTTGGAAGTGGTGGGTGCTTAGAAGGAAGTGAAAATTTTCTAGTTTCAGAGGCTATAGGTGACCATAAATTCTGCAGGGTTGCGTACAGCATAGACAGGCTAGAATGCCTAAAAATGAAAGAGAAGGAAGCCAGAGGTCAGAGTATGGATATGCATCATTTCATTTGTCTGGGATACTCCACGAAGAGTACAGAAAAAGATGACCTGTGTGGAGCTGGATTCTTCAGTAGATGATGCAGCATGTTTGGGAGATTGGTAGACAATAGGGACAAGGAGAGATGGGGCAAAACTGGATACATGAGTGTCAGCGGTGCAGGATGAGGACGGAAGAGGATGGAAGTAGTGGGCAGGAAATGGCAACATGCTCACGACTCTACCTTTCAGCTCTGAGGTACAGAGAATGTGGAAATACCTCTTCTTGAGAGGGCTGCATGGAGGTGGTGACTCAAGATGGGGGGGCAGAAAAGGAAACAGGCAGCCCATTCAGACTCAGTTGGGGTGGGGGTGAAGGGGCTGAAGTGGGGGAGGAGAGATCCTAGGACTCTGAATGGTCAGTCTTGGCTCCATCTCACAAAATAGAAGCAGCTGCATGCTTCTCAGTGGCACAGCTGTGGAAGGGTTGGGGCTCACCAGCCCTATGTGTCCTTCAGGCTTGATGGGAGGGGCAACCAAAGGTCACAATTCCTCCTTGGGTCCTCCGATGGTATCAGGGGAAAGCAATGTGGAGATTTGTCTCCTACCATTGTTCTAACAACATTTCTAATATTGCCGTCTGTCCTATTGTCTTCCGTCGTCTAGCGTAACTTGTCTTCTGAATAGTCTAATCCCAGTCGGAGGTCACAGGCGCTATCTTGGTTCTGAGAGTTCCATCTAAGGAAGGGCGTTTGGAGGAAAAGAACGAGGTGTGAAGCCAGCCATATGGGAGCCAAGGAAGACTGTAAGAGAGACCTGGGCTTGCCTGCCATGGTTCTCAATACGATCAATACAGAAAGAAGGCAAAAGCCCAGCTTGTGTTTCTGTAGTCAGAGGCAATGTTTCCTTCTGAATTTCCCAGTTGGAGTAACTCAGTTATGCCTTTTCAATTATGAAATTGTGGAATGCGGGCGGGGGGTCATTAGACACATTCAGTTATTTTCTGTGGCTCATCTCACACAGAGACACAGCCACTACCTCTTTTCCCATTCCAAGGACGCAGGGCCTACCAACTGGTTCTCTCATGGTCTCTGGACCTTTCTGTTTCCTCCCTCAGGCCCATGGGTCACAGAAATTCTAGGTGGGGGCCCAGGTATGAACCATTACCAGGTAGAAGGACAAGAGGTAGCTAGCACAGTGTCTCTAGAAACCTCCTTTGCCTGGTTCTGGGTAACTGCCTGCCTTTGGTTCCTCAACTTATGAGAAAATGGGCTATCTGCTAGGCCAGCCCTTGCATGAATAAGAGGGATACACAGTTCCTGTTTTCAAGGGAGGGAAAGACAGTGGCTTTACATTTTACTATGGTTCTAGCACTCATAGACCACCTGGATAACTGAATGAAGCCATGGCTTCCATTCCACAGGAGCTCCTGAGCTAAGGCAGAGGCAGGTCCAAGCCACATGCAGAACATGCACAACCAGCAAGCCGGAGTCAGGATATGAGGGCAAGGCGAAAATAACTTCTAAGGTGAAGGAAGAGATCTGGCCCCACAATGTGTCTTACTACACTCTCAGCAAAGGGTTGAGCTGGTCACAGGCCGACCTTTTCTGGGATGGGCATAATTATGGCAGGAAAACAATTTCAGTCCTTGTGCAAGAGATTGTTTTCAGCCCATAGCTATGGGTACCAAGGGAAGGTCCCCAAGATATATTACTTAGTATAAAGAGGTGGTTTATACACAGAGACCCAAAATAAGAGGGACTCCAACAAGATGGATTGTTCTTTCCTCTGTAATAATCCAGGCATAAACAGTTTGGGGCTAAAATAGAACCTGGGACTCAGTATACTCTTAACTTGCTGCAGTGTTGACCCTATGACCCTGTGCTCATCCATATGAGCAAAGATGGTTCATCATGTAGGTTTTCAGCCTGTACCATGTAGAGGAAGAGGGCCAGGAGAAGCTGATTCCCTCCTTTTAAAGGCAACATTTGAAGGTTCTGTACATTGTTGTTGTTTTGGTTTTGTTTTGATTTTTGGTCTTTTGAGACAGGGTCTCCTTGCAGTCTCAGCTGGCCTAGAACTCACTGTGTTGACCAGCCTTGCCCCGAACTCACAAAGATCTGCGAGTGCTTGGATTAAAGGCGTGTGCCACTCACCTGGCTGTGCACATTTTTGCTCATACCCCATTATCCAGCTTCTAAACAAGTAAATATCCTTTGCTGCAAGAGAGCCTGGGAAGTGTAGTTTTCTTCCCCCCCCCCGCCCCCAGAAGCCATGTATCCAGAAAACACCTAAGAGGGAAAGGGCAAAATTGTTATGGCGGATGAACTAGCAACTCTGCCACAGAAGACCCCAAGCCTACAGCAAGGAAGCCCTTGTATATGTCTGCCCCTATAACCCTACCCCTTGGCAATGGATGGGGCAAGGGGAAAATTACTTCAAGGCATTCTCATGGCCACAGCAATTGGCCCAGAATTGGGTGCATGTTTTGAAGCGAGCCTGTCAGAAATCCTTATGACTTTCTAACCAAACCTGGTAACAAATGGTGCCATTTCCTTTCTAGTCATGAAACTATGAGGATGTGACCCTTAACTGACTATAGTCATTTCCTCTGCAGGGTTGGGTGGGGTGCACAAACACATCTGACAAAGATAGGGTGCTGCTAGCCCCTGGGGGATGCAGACGAGGACTTGCCAGCCAATGGGCCTCACCCAAAGCCTCCCTTGGACCTTCTCCATCCTTGAGCTCAACACCCCTTTTCCCCAAGCTGATTTAAGTTGGGTTTGGGTCATTTACAGCCCCAGAACCTTGCCTTAGTACTGAAAGCACTATTCTTCTCCCTGCAGGAATGAGTAGATTGAGGGGTGCAGCTAAGACTGAACACAGCAGAAAAGCACAAGGACTCCAGCTAGCTGACTTCCTGCGGCACATCGGCCCGACTGCATCTGACCGTTCCCACACAGTACCTTGCAGGTGGGCTGCTGGGCTTTCTCCACATTTTCCCAGGCAGCCCTGCTTCCTATCACTCAGCCCTACCCAGCTTGCTCCAGCCGACCCAGCTGTGAGGAGGGGGCGAGGAGGGGCAACTATCACAAAGGACGCATTCTGGGCTGGTGGGGGCTGTTATCAGCCAAGCTTCAGCTGATTCACCTAGCTCTGTGGGCAGCCAGTAGGTGTGGGTGGAGCTTGAGCTGCCTCTGGGCCTCTCTTCGCCAGGACCTGTGAGCCCTGAGCGGAGGCGGGCTCTCAACAGAGGTGCATTGTTTTCTGCCACCTCTGCTACCAGGCTCTGTCCAGGGCTCCCCTGATCTATCTTTAGTCTCTCATCCTTCTCTCTCTGACCCTCATCCCTCTGGTTTCTGTCCCATCCCCTCCTCACCTTGAACAGCAGCCTGGGGTGGTGACTGGGGAGGGGGTAGCAGGAGATGCTTAGGGCATGAACATCCTCCAATGCAGTCAGGTAGAAATATCAGAACTACAGACCCTTGGGCTCCCCACTTCCCTGATGCCTCCTGAGTCCTCTCCACCTGCAGCAGGCAGCAACCAAGCTGTCCTGGGTCTGTGGTGTCACCTGCTAGCCATCTTTAAAAAACCTAATTTACAGAGCTGGAGAGAAGGCTCAGTGGTTAAGAGCATTGGCTACTCTTGCATAGTACCCAGATTCAATTCCCAGCACCCATATGGAGGCTAACAACCGTCTATAACTCCAGTTCCAGGGGAATCTGAGGCCCTCTTCTAACCTCTTCCAGCACTGCATGACATGGGTACACTTACATACATGTAGGCCATATGCTCACACACAAAAAATAAAAAAAAGTAAAATACTTTTTAAAACACTAATTTATAAATTTGTGGACTTCTTTCCTCTCCCATTATTCTAGCTCTACTTCCGTTACTTCAGAGATCCTTTGCCCAGTGTGCTCTGTCTACCTGACCATCTTGTCAGAGACAAAGCCAGGTGTGCCCCAGAAGAAAGCAGGCTAAGAGTCAGAAAAATGAAAAGAATTCCAATTTCGAGGGTCCTTGAAAAACACTTAACTTCAAAACGCCCCACTTATCACTCCATAGTCCTAAGAAACCTGCTTTCCTCTGAGCACCAGCCTCAACAACAGATAGACTGTTCTAGATTCACATCGTTATTTTTTGCCAGTTCTCCATGCCAGTCTTGCAGTGGTAGGGTTCTTTCTTCTCTCATGTAGCTGAGAGGCAGCCCTGGTTGGAGATGATTCAAACAGGAATTGAAGGCCCAGCCCAGAAACCAGAGTCCTAGTTCCTTTTCTCCTCCTTTCTTTCCTTCTTTCTTTCTTTCTTTCTTTCTTTCTTTCTTCTTTTGAGACAGGGTCTCATGTAGCCCAGGCTGGCCTTGAACTCACTATTTAGCCAAGGATGACCTTGAACTTCTGATCCCTCCACCTCCTGAGTGCTGGAAATACATACATACACCAACCACCGTGCTCCGTTTTATGCAGTGCTAGAGATCAAGCGTAGGGTGTCTTGCATGCAAGGCAAGAACTCCCCCAACTGAGCCACTTCCCCAGCCTGAGTCCTTGATTTTCTATCTGCTTCTTGTAAGGAATGTCAAACAGCTTTCTAGAAAGAGTTCTAAAATGCAATATGCCCCTGAATTGGGCTAGCCTGATTACAGGCATTCAAAGGAAAGGAGGTGACACAGGGAGCAAGGAGTAAAGAACAAAACGATGCTGTAGCAAGAGAGCAAGGAGAGGGCATGTGCGAGAGAGGAACAGAGCAGGGCTGGCCAGATAGTTATGAACACCTTCATGCTGAGAAGGGCCCCGTGGAAACACGGCTGTGCTGTGGGCACCCAGGTGGGAAATAACTCCTTATCCCACCAAACCAACTTCACTTACTGTCGATTCCAACTTTAACGTTGAAGGAAACAGACTTTGGCCTGCAGGAATGAGGGAGTGGAGAGAGGAAGAATTCTGCTGGCACCATTCCATCTCCTCTGAGCAGCTCAGCTGTGATCCCAGGCTTGCCGCCACCCAACTTCACAAACGAACTCTCTAGACCCTGCGCAACCCCCTTACTGATCATCTGTTGCTATACTAGCTGTTTCTTTTAGGGTCTCATGTGACCCTTAGCAGAATTCTGGGCAAGTTTTCTTAGAGGCTTTCACCCCTCATGGGGCAGGGGTGCCTCATGAAATGGCAGGTTCTCTAGGCTACCATCTGACATCAGACACAGCATTTTGTCTCATTTAATTACTCTGTCATAAAACAAGATTCCCATTCCAGTTGGGGAGACTGAGGCTGAGGGCAGTTAGGGTAGCTGCCTGATAGGGCCATAGCTAGTCAGTCTTACCACTAAGCTGAGCTCTGAATTCAGTTTCATCCATTTTTCCCCCAAGGCTTCAGTCTTCACTCCCCCCACACACAAGAAGAAAAAGAAAGAAACAGGAGACTGATGGCAAGAGGTGAATTAGAGGTCTCAACAGGAGACATGAACGCAGAGTCAGAGACCCCACAGCAGTGGGGAGAGAGGCTGGGTGCCCAGTAGCTGACCAAACAGCCCAGGAGGGGTGGGAGAGGAGGAGTGGGAGGCACTGTCACGGACTCCCCTGTGTGTGGAGGGTGGAGTCTTGTCCTGGAGAAAGGGGAGTGTGTGCTGCAGCCAGCCAGGGGCCCCTTCTTCACACAGGGCATACCAGCACAGGCCACTTAGGGCCGGTGGGCCTGGGTCTAAAAGCCTGTGAGAGACACTTGCAGAAGGACCCTCTCCTTCTGCACTGGATTGGGGGACACAGAAAGTCATGTGGGCCGGGTGGAGTTGGCAACCTGGAGCCTGGTTGTTGACCCTATTGCTCTCTCTTCTCTGCTGTCTTCTTTCCCTCCAGCTCAGTTGAGTTCAGCATCAGGCCAAGCAGAGCTCAGGGGCAGTTCCTCACTCCACCAGCAGAGGTCTCCAGAGCAGAGTGCTGGAGGGCTTTGGGGGAGGGGTAGGATGCACCCAGCCCTACACACAAACACACACACACACACACACACACCACCACCACCACCACCACCACCACCCAGTTTCACTCACTGTTGTGCACATACACAGGTGGTCTTTACCCATACATAGGTGTGTCTGTGCTTGTGTGTGTGTCCTTGTGTGGGGGTGTGAAGTGAGTGTATCTGCGTGTGTGGGCGGGATCTACAAACAAGAGTTTGATTGCTGGTCTGTGTTGGGGTAGTCTCTTACACATGATGGCACTGTTTGTGGTGCTATGTGTATTTGTGTACACCAGGTGCCCGTATGATTTATGTATAAATGGGCATGCTTTGACTAGTAGGGAAAGGGAAGAAAATAAATAACACAGGGTAGGTGTGGTGTGTACATCTGTTATCCTAGCACTCAGGAGGCAGAAGCAGGAGAATTGTCTATGAGTTCAAGGCCAACCTTGTGTACACAGTGAGATCTTGAGACCTTGTCTCAAAAGAGAGAGAGAGAGAGAGAGAGAGAGAGAGAGAGAGAGAGAGAGAGAGAGAGAGAGGGGGGCAACAAATTTTGGAGAGGAGGTTAGTGAGTTCCAGGACAACTGGGGCTACAGGGAGATTCTGTCTTAAAAAGATTTTAAAAGAAGGGAGGGAAAGGAAGGAAGGAAGGAAGAGAAAGAGAAAGAAAGAAAGAAAGAAAGAAAGAAAGAAAGAAAGAAAGAAAGAAAGAAAGAAAGAAAGAAAGGGGTTTTGAAATCTGAAAACAACCCTTGCATTTGTCTATTTAAACCTCTTTGGTGGTAGGTTCTGTTGCCATCGAGTTCTCAGGCAGCAAGGCCTTCCAGAGCTCTGGGTCTGTTCTGATCACATTTGTAACCTACAGACACTCTTCTTTTGGGGAGAAAGGAACTCAGGGAGAAGGTGGATGGCTGTCCTGGAGGAACAACCATTTACTCCTGGAGCTGGCTCATCCATGGAGGATGGAGGCCACAGCTGTGGGGCAAGACCATGGTCGGAGCCCAGCTCTCTCCTGTTCGGGGCCCTGACTGTGGGCATCAGTTCCTCTGGCCTGTGTTGAGCTCCACCAGGGCTGTGGGGATTGGTCAGACAGGAGACTCTCTCATCCTGTGGTGAGCACACTTGTCCTGAGGCAGACTATGGGCCACACCATGGGAAGCTACCTTAGTTTCCAAAGGCACTATAACAAATTACACACAGAGCAGCTTCCAACAGCACAAATGTCTTAACACAGAGCACCCAAGAGCAGCATGCCAGGACTCAGCCTAAGAGTGTGTGGGACTGGATCCTTTAGAAAGCTCTAGTGAAATGAAGGTCTCCTTGCCTTTTCTGTCTTCTAGGGCAGCTCATTCCTGGGTGTGAAGCCCCTTCCTCCACCTCCGTCAACCACAGGCAGAAACTTAAGACCTCTCATCTGCTCCTACCTGCCCCTTCTGCCTTTGCCTTCTAGCCTCCCTCTTCTGAGGACTCCTGTGATGACTGGGAACTCCACACAATCCTGATGATCCCCCTGTCTCCATATCCTTAACATATAATCACACCTGAAAAGTTCATTTGCCTGTTAGGTGACATGGGTACAGGTTCTGGGTAGGGCACATTATTCTGACTAGTGAAGAGGAAGGAGGATATACAGATAGTTGACAAGGGGGGGCGGTGACACTCTGTTCTTTCTCTCTTTCAGTTTTTTCAGTACCAGGACTGAACCCAGGGCCTCATGTACATTAGAGAAATACTTTATCACCTAGCCTTTATTTTAAGATAGAGTCTCATTAAGTTGCCCAAGCTAGACTTGGACTCACTCTGTAGTCCAGGCTGGTCTTGAATTTGCAATTCAAGCTGGGATTACAGACCTATACTATCAGGCTTGGCTGGAGTGACATTCTTATTCATTTTTTTTTTATTTTAATTATGTGTATGCATGTGTGTCTATGTGGGGCTATGTGCATGTGAGTGCAGTTGCCCACAGAGGCCAGAAGTGGACACTGGATCCCCTGGAACTGGAGTTACAGGCAGCCATGAGCTGCCTGACATGGGTACTAAGAACCAAATTCAGGTCCTCTGCAAGAGCAGTACCAGCTCTTAACCTCTGAACTCTCTCTCCATTCCTATGACATTCTTAATCCGCGCCCCCCCCCCAGTTTCACTGAGGCACCCATGAGGACCCTTTCCCCTGTGGAGGGCCCTCGCCCTTGCTTAAGATCCTCTTGACCTGGCAGTGCTATCTAGGGAACTGAGCTCTCTGAGCGAGTAAAGGGCCTACCCTTCATCTTGCCCTCTAACAGCCCTAGGCCAGGTACTCGGCATTACTGTTCTGATTGACTCCTGGTTCCCCTCTGCTTCCCTCACCCCTCCCAGCCCACTCCGCACTGAGCCCCTGACCAGGCCTGGGTCTGTATCCATGCTCCTGGGAGGCTCTCCCTTGGTCCCTCTGTCATCTGCTGTCCTAAGCCACTTGACTGTCTGCCAGCTTCGGGCCTCTCTTCAGCCTTCTTCATATGGGTGAAACCACACCCATGAGCTCCCGGCAGAAAGTTCAACTGCAGGGCCCAGCATGAGGAGGTGGAGGACACGCGTGACAGCATAGCTCAGCACTGGGGCCCAAGAAGACTCCTCACCTCCGGGGTTGCTTTCCAAGGCCAAACTCCCCGGCCCAGTCAGACACACATCTGGAAGCAGGCTGGAAATTCCAACTGTTCTCCCTTGCTAGGAAATGTGTCCAATCTTCCCACAGGTTTCACGGAAGCAGAAAACACTGGAGAGGAGGGCTCACTCCACAAGACCCCAAGAGCTTTGGAGAATCCAGATGTCGCCACAATCCTTAGCCCCGCCCTCAGCTTCGCTCCCTACTGTCCCCAAGAAAATTAAAGACGCCTGGAACAAATGATGGAGTTCGTGTCTCCCTGGGACCCACGAGTCTGTGTGTGTGTGAAACACTGATTTTTTTTTTTTTTTTTTATAGAGACTAAGTTATTTTTTTTCCTGGAAAGATGTTGACATGCCTTTGGAGGATCATTGGCCGGGAAAGTTTCCTGATGCATGAAGACATGGTCTTCCTTCTCCTTGGCACACACGCACATCTCCCTGAGGCCCTGGATCAGCAGCCTCATCACCACTCCGCTCATCCGTTCCACTGAGCTGGGGTCACAAAGCAGGCCAGGGCACTAGCTCCTTCCACAGCTCTCAGCAAATGTGGCTTTCTGCAACTGCCATGCTGAAAACAGCATACATTTATTCTCTTCTAGTCCTGGAAGTTGAAAGTATAGAATCAGTGTCACTGGACTAAAGTCATGGCCCTTCACCTGGGGCCTCTTCCTCCATTTTTAGATGGTATCCCCCATCTCTGCCCCCTTCATCACATCACTTTCTCTAATTCCGACTCTTCCACTGGCCTTCTTATAAGGTCACTTGTGATTAGATTGGACCTGACTGAGCAATCACAACCTCGGGATCTGTAACTCAATCACACCCACAGTCTCCATGGCATCTTCCAATTCTGATGCTAAGTCAGGGGGCTTCTTCTCTTGTTGGCCCTCTAATTAAATGGGCTTGGCCTCCCAACTCTCTGCTCAATACTGTCTCCAGAGCTCACACTGCCTTCTCTCCATCATCACAAGCAAGCTTTCTCTACCCCGCATCTGGTACAAGGAGTCAGATGCCTACTCTGGGTTCTTTCAATCACCTAAAAAGGGAGTCTCCATTGAGGAATTATCTAGATCAAGTTGGCCTGTGGGCATGTCCATGGAGGGTTGTGTTGATTGTTAATTGAGGTAGGAAGAACCATCCAAAATGTAGCTGGCCCTATCGTGGGCTGGGCCCTGACCTGTATAAGAGTGAAGAAAGACAGCTGCACAGAAGTAGCGGCAAGCAGGGAGGACCCATGTGTTGATTCTCTCTGCTCTTGACTTCGGCTGTGTTGCTTTAAGTTCTTGCCTGGATGTCCTTGCCATGATGGATTGTAACCTGGAATTATAAGCCAAAGAAACCCTTCTTTCCCTAAGTTGTTTTTTGTCAGGATATTATTTTTTTAACTTTCTTAAAAAAATGTATTGAGAATTTCATACATGCATATAAGGTGTTTTGATCAAATCCATGCCCACTCCCTCCCCTCCAACTCCTCCCATATCTCCCCATGACTTTTTCCTGAACAATTTTGTGTACTTTTTTTTAGTGAGGCTTTTTGCTACTCTAACATTCCCCTCTCTGAAGAGGTAACCCTAAAATCTTTTAGGGATTAGATAAAAGCTCCCAAATACTTTTGACATTTTTGGCCTCTGGAATGGAGTATGTTGCTAAGAAGCGCAAGGACATTTTGACTTTTAGCCAAGAAACTGGCTACTTTTCTTTGGGGTCTCTTTTTACCCTAACTACTTAGCCAATTCATACCTCACACCATCCCCCGAAGAGGTTACCAAATTGCCGATAGGGAATCAGGACACAGACTGCTCTGGCTTCTTCCATGCTGAACAGGGACGCAGGGTAAGGCAATTGGGATATCCCTTCAGTGGGTCTATCTAAAAGAATCCCGAAATGCATAACTCTTAACTATAGGGAGAAAAAGAAAATCCTTGACTGGTGCCTAGGAGATGTGAAGAAATAAAGGCAAGAGTAGTTAGCATTATAAATTCTAGACAGAGAACCAGAAAAAAATCAAAACAGGGAAAATTTCAAATGTTCATATCAGAGTCCATTGGAATTTTTTGACAAGAGCTTCCAAAAGCATCCCTCTATTGGGTTCCTCCTCATTTTTCTTTTGTCTGCCAAGCCTGGACTCAAGAGTGATGGACTCAGGATTTGTTTTCAGGTACTTTGATAGCTGTTGGAGGGGCTAGAATCAGTGTCAGTTCCCTCACAAAGGCATCTAGATAGGGGGAGAAAACAAATTTAGCCATCATTTTAGATTTGTCAGGATATTTTATCACAGCAGCAGAAGCCTATGCCTTATAGCCAAAGGCTCATGATTTGGGGCCAGGGGACAGGTACCATGGGCCAGTGGCAGCATGGCAGGTCATGGCAGGAGTATAGGGCAGAGGCATCTTGTTCATGGTGGCCAAGAAGCAAAGAAAGAGAAATGGAGTCCCATAACCAGCTTCAAAGACACCCACATCCACACACACCATGACTAGTCTCTTTCCACTTACTTAAAGCTCCACCAGCTTTCAATAGCTCTACAGGCTGCACCTAATCCTTCATTACATAGACCTTTGGAGGACACTCCAGATCCCAGCTGTAGCACCACCCCCATTGTCCTGAGGACCCAGAGACAGGGGCAAAGACCATGACTTGGAATTACCAGAGCTCATGGTCCCTGGGGCTAGTCTATTTACCTTCTCTTCCCTACAGGATCCATAACTAGGTGAGAGACCACCTGACCCCTACAGGGAGGTATCAGGGGGCCTATCCTGTCTGCAGACCCAGGGAAGGACAAAATCAGAAAAAAACTAGAGACAGGATGAGCATGTCACCCTCCTGGCACATCTTCTCTCTCCTATCAGCCTACCCTGCTGGACTTGGGGCTTTACCAGAGCCCCTCCATTGGCTCCCCACTGGCTTTCCTCTGTCACTGCCCAACAGAATGGCCTCTCCTTCCCAGGGCCTGGACCACAAATCCTGCTCATGGTGATCATATGAATTTTAAGGACTTCCTGTTGCACGAAAAAAGCTCAAAGTTCCTGTAAGATCCTCAGATGGTAGAGTGTTTGCCTAAAAGGAAAAAAAAAAAAAAAAAAAAAAATCCTGATGATCTGACTGTGGTTTGCCCAGTAAAGATGGCTGCTGCCCACCAGCATGCTCTCTCTGCTGCAGTTCCACTGGCCATCAGCACATCTTTCTAGTGTCCACCTTCTCCCCGTCAGGACTTTTGCACCTACTGTTTTTATCTGGGGCACTCTCCTTATGCCCAGCTTGCATTTGGCTCCAATTCATCCTTCAGTTTCAGGTCATTTCTAAAGAAACGACGCGCCCCCCACCCCCAGCCCTGGCATGCCTTCTACCCCACAACCTTCTGGGTGAATCTCCTCCCATCTTACCGTAGGAATGTTAGGATTACAGCTGTGTACTACTGCACCTGCCTTTATTTACATGGGTTCTGGGAATTGGACTCAGGTCATCAGATGTACATGCAAGTGCTTTTATCTGCTGAGTCATCTTGTCAGCTTCCACCTTGTTTTTTTGAACCAGTCTTTCATTGACCTAGAGTTCACCAGAGTAAGCTAGACTGGCTGACCAGTGAGCCCTAGGGATCCACCTGTCTCTGCCTCCCCAGCTCCGAGATTACAATCATGTACCAATACACTTGACTTTTTTACATGAGTACTGTGGATCGAACTTGAGTTCCTACAAGAAGCATTTCACCAACTGAATCGTCTCCCCAGTCCAGATTCTGCACTTTTTTTTTTTTGAGACAAAGTCTCATGCAGCCCAGGCTTGTCTTGAACTTACTATGTAGCTATGACCTTGAACTCCTGATCCTCCTGCCTCCCTCTCCCAAGTGCTGGGATTAGAGGTATGTACCACCACGCCTGGCCAAATTCTGCATTTTAAGAGCAGATGACTCTAAGGGTCACAGAGGCAGGTCTTGTCTTTGCACAGAAAGGGCTCTGGGGCTCCCTTCAGAGCTCTACAGGGTGGTGCTGAGACCCTGTTTCCCAAAGTTGGATAAGAAACCCCTGTCCCAATTCCAGCCCAGTGCCCTTCCTGTGGGCCACCCTGCTTTTGATGTCCTGACTGCTTCTCTGACTTCTGTCACAGTGAGGAGGGTGAACTGGCCACAGCTGAGCCTTGGGACAGAGGATGCACCAGACACCAGTGGCCAAGACGCAACTGCACTAATGTCACAATCTGACCACAGACTGGCTTGATTCCTAAAATAGTGCCTGGGTTTCACACTGCCGCTTCCATGACGGGGTTGGAGAGAAAGGCCTGGGTCTCAGTTTTGGGTCTGCCTTCTTTTGGTTGTGTGTGTGGTCTTTCTGAGTCCCATTTCCTCCTCCAGAAAATAGGGATAATAATTGGACACACCTCCCAGATTTGTCTCAAAGACTAAATGAGACATGGAGTCCCTGGTGAATGGTGACCATGAGGTGACCACGAGTATCAGTAAGAATTTTTATCACGCAACCCCTCCCCATTCCATCTGCTTACTCATTCTTTGGGCTCAACGTCTTGAGTCAAGAAAGCAACCTGATTAAACAGAGTCACACCCACCCAGTTCAAGCCTCACAAAGAGACCTTAACCGATTAGGGCTGGGATGGGATCTAGTACTCTTTGCTTTTATTAATCTTTATTTTAAATAAACCTCCTGATTGGCTAGAGATGGAAATAGGTTGGTAGAGTGCTTGTCTAACATGCAGGAAGCCCTGGTTTCAATTCCCAGCACCACATAAACCAAGTGTGGTGGCACACATCTGTAATGCCAGCACTGCAGAGGTAGAGCCAAGAGCATCAGAAGTTCAAAGACAGGAGGATCAGAAGTTCAAGGTCATCCTCAGCCACATAGAGAGGTTAAGGCTAGCCTATAATACATGGCACTTTGTCTATAAATAAATAAGGACTGGAGAGTGGTTAAGAGCATTGACTACTCTTGTAGAGGACCCCAGTTCCAGAACCCATAGAGCAGCTAACAACTGTCCACAATTCCAGTCCAGCATACCCAACACCTTCTTCTGGCCTCTGTGGCATTGCACATGGATGCACTTACATATATGCAAGCAAAACACTAACATACATAAAATAAAAATAAATTGAAATAGCCAGATGTGGTGGCACATGCCTTTAATCTCAGCACTTGGGAGGCAGAGGCAAGTGGATCTCTATCAGATCGAGAACAGCCTGGTCTACATAGTGAGTTCTAGGCCAGCTGGGGCTACAGGGAGACCCTGTCTCAAAAAGACCAAAGAAATATTGAAATAATAAACCTTGTTGGTTCTCCACATCTCCCAAATCCCAGCCAGGTGGTGACTAGCTAGAGTTTCAGATCCCATCAGATGCAATGTCATTGAGAGTCAAGGAAATCCAGCTACCCCTCCACCCAGTCCAGGTTTCTGACAAATCTTGTGTTCCTGGACCAGTGATTGCCCTTCTCTCCTAATGGGAGACACCTGGTTTGCCTCTGGACACACTGGGTTCTTAGAGTTTGGCATATTCAAGCCAACCAAGGCTGCTGGCTGAGAGGGAGGTAGCTCTGGATGGTCCTCTGAGGCCTGGAGCAGAGTGGCTGTGGAGGAAGAAAGTGAAGCTACAGATGGGGCCAACTGTGGCCCTCCGTTTCACTCCTTCTGGTGATTGGCAAGGGGTTGGGGATGTCCCTGCCTTTGGTGACCCAACCTTAGTACCATAGGGAGGGTGTCAGCAAGGACAGGCTGAGGAAGAGGAAGGGCACAGAAGAACACGGTCCTCCATCAAGGACATGGGACTGTTGACGTGGGAGAGAGAGTCAGGCGCAGCCTCTGGCCCTGCTCCACCGAGAGGAGGAAATGGTTTTCACTGAAAAACAAAGTTGAAAAACAGTTTACTGAGGGGGCGTGAAAGAGGAAAGGGAAAAAGGAAAGGAAAAAAAAAAAAACAAAAAAACAGCACGAACTGTCTGCTCATCAGAATCACCTGGGTAGCTGTTAAAAATACAGATTCCAAAACCCGTTGCCAAGTCAATAAAAATCTTGATGGCCTAGGTTTCTCCTCCTTGTGGTTTAAAATGTAGACCCACCTCAACCAGCTTGGAAGACCTGGGGTGGTGGGTGCTGGGTTGAAGGTACGACCAGGGCTCGTTGTCCTTAAGGAAATATCAAACCAGAGCCCAGATGGACTCAGGAGAAAAATCCTAAAAGCCACTCTCCCCTCTCCAGGCAGGCTGGGTGGCCGCTAGCTGAAACTGTTGCAGGCCTTCTTCCACACTCATTCATGTTCCTATGCCCCAGGACTCTACTCACACCCCGACGCTTGTCCCCTCCACCTCAGGCCCTGG